CTTCTCCTCTATTCTCCACAATTTCTCAAATCAACCATTGTCAGATGACTTTATTCCCAATTTAAATTCCCATAATTCACAACTAGTCTCTCCAAAGGCTGGAATTCATAGGTAGTAGCATCCACAATAGAATTTCCAAATGCTGCCATTTCACTGTATCCCAGGGTCTGACCCAAGTATAGGAATTGTGAGAATTGTGTGATGATATCATCCTACCTATTTTGTCCTTGCAAACTCTGCATTCCATGTCCATGTCTGTTGAATTACAGTCAAAACATCTGGAAAACACTGCACTGGAGGTGCCTGATTATATTTATTTACTTACAGGTAGTCTTTGGTTAGTGACCACAATTGGGACCAGCAACTCTGTTGCTAAGTGACACAGTCATTAAGCGAAACATCACATGATCGTAACGGACTTATGTTGTCACTTCTGCTGAGGTCGTTAAGTGAATCACCCACAATCATTAAGGGTGACAGCTCATGACCACAACTTGTAACTTATGGTTGGCTTCTCCATTGACTCTACTTGTTGGAAGCCAGTTGTGAAGTGCCTGAATGTCAATCACGTGACCACAAGGACTCTGCGACAGTCGTAAATGTAAGGACCGTTCATAAGATTACTTTTTCAGCACTGTTGTAACTTTGAACAGTCACTAAACAGGGCTGTCATTAAGCGAGGTCTATCTGTACTTACTTTATATACTCACTTCATATGGACACACTTCATATGGACACACAACAGTGTATAATAAAAAAAAAAAATCTGTGACAGAGAAACAGTATAGTATAGAAATAGTATCTTTAAACTGTCAGAACATTTCCAAAATTTTTATAACCAGAAATAATATTAATAATAGGTTACTAATGACAGATCTTAAATAAATATGTGATGAAGCCACTGGATTTCTGGTGGGCCATATGAAGTACTTGAACATTCTAAAGTGCTACACAGGCATATTAATTGTTTCTATTTGGTACTATTCTTTTACAGAGCAACATCATAATAATGGGATTTAAGAACAAAACAGCCATTATGGACTTTGTCCTCAGAGGTTTCTCGATACAGCCCCAATATGAAGGTCCACTTTTTTCTCTTTTCCTTTTCATGTACTTGCTGACCTTCCTGGGAAACTCACTCATCATTCTGCTGATCCTCTTTGATGCTCACCTCTGTGGTCTTCCTATGTATTTCTTCCTTATCCAGCTGTCACTGGTGGATATTTGCTTCAGTTCTGCTACCACCCCAAAAATGCTGGAGATACTGCTGTCCAAGAACAAGACCATTTCCTACACAGAGTGTCTGTTGCAGCTTTATCTTTTAATCACCCTTGCTAATGTTGATGGTTTCCTCCTGGGCTCTATGGCATATGATCGTTATGTGGCCATCTGCTTCCCATTAAATTATGTTGCTATAATGACTCGAAAGCGCTGTCTTGAACTAGTGGCTGGCTCCTGGCTGCTCCCCTGTCTCCATTCCTTACTGCACACCCTCCTGATGTCCCAGCACTCTTTCTGTGGCTCCTTGGAGATCTCCCACTTTTTTTGTGACATCCGGGAGCTCCTCAGCCTTTCATGTTCTGATGTATCCATTCACCAAATGATCATTTTCATTGAAGGAGCATCTGTGACCCTCTCCCCTTTAGTGTGTATCCTTCTATCTTATGTTCAGATTCTTTCCAACATACTGAAGATTCCAAATGCCCAAGGGAAGTACAAGGCTTTCTCCACTTGTGGGTCCCACATCCTCTCAGTGGCTTTTTATTTTGGGTCAATTATGGGAGTCTATTTTCAACCTTCTTCTCCTGAGAGATCAACCAGTGTAGGGACCTTCATAGCATCTGTGATTTTTATGGTGATCACCCCAATGTTAAACCCAGTAATATATAGCCTGAAAAACAATGAGGTGAGAAATGCCATGAAGAGGGTCTGTAGAAAGATGAAAAAGAAACATTGGGTCTGAGATAGCATTCTTTGGAAAATTTAAAAAATAAACTTTTGAGGGCTTTAGGACAGATTACATTTATCAGATGAGAGGATTTTTCCTGATTGGACATTGAAGTATTAGATGCAGAGTGAAGAGGATGAATGGGATTGTAGGTGATGGTTTCAGATTGTCTATCTTTGTGAAACCCTTTCTAGGACACATCAACATGTTTGATGCACTTGGCAGATATTTCAAGGGGTTATCCTGGAGTTTATCCAAACTCACTGAACTCTCTGCTGTTTCTTTTGAATTGTGAGGGAACCTTTGAGAACACTTAGCTCTCTCCTGAGTCTAAACACTGCAAGAGGAGATCAATAGAGACTAACAAGCTCACTTTCACTCTATCTTATATATCATTATTGACATTTTCACTGGGCAGTTCTCAATAAGATTCTCCATAATTCCCTACGATACTTTGAAAATCACAACAATAGGGGAAGCACAATGGAAGTTGAGCATCAATAGACAATATGAGGGATTGCCGATCAAGTGAATGGTCTGTTAAATCAGTCTGTTTTTCGGATACAGATTCAAAGCAGTACAGTAAAAACATTCAGCTTGATATAAACAGGAAGTTGTTCTGCAAAGAAATACTTCTTTGATTCTGATGCATCACACACTCTTTTTCCTTCAGCTTCATTCTGACATCAGCTTAAAACTCTAATGCTGTAATGTCTCCATAGATTCTAGTCCATCTTGTCAATTTTACTGGAATATTGTTCTGATGACTAGTTGGAAATGAAGACTGAGAGGCAAACAGCTGGACATGATCTCTCTTCCTTCAGTCATCAGTTAAGAAGGACGTTGCTTTCTCTCTTGTAGGTGAGCAATAAAAAAAAGTCAAAAGAATTATAAAAGCTTCTGGGTGAGAAACAGAAATGGTCTCATCCCAAGGACATCTATCTCATTAAAATCTGTGAAACAGGTTTACCAACTACATGGAGGACACTGATATAGGAAGCATTACAAATACTTCAAATTATTATTACAGGTTTAAATAAAATCAGAAGCTTAAAAAAAAAGAGTTATAAGGGATATATTTCTTTCAAACCAGAAAGAGAAAAAGCAATTCCAACATGGGGACACAAATGGCTAGTAGCCCAAGAGATTTGCCAGGAATTACCTACCAGACCTCATGTTCAGAACTGAAATAGCTTACAATTGTGAAGGTGGGGAAAGGGGAGAGTATGTCTCATGTAGGTTACATAGGCAGTGCTATTTGAGCTGGAAACTCAGGATACTAGGTATAGTTGATATTTTCACACATTCCATTAAATAAGGCTTTAACTGTGGTTCGATAAACTAGCCACAATTGGCTGGGTTCACACATGTTGTTCAATTGTAAACTGTGCTTTACAGAGCACAATAGCTGGATCCAAACAATAGGTTAAGCCAAAACCAAACATATCACATTAAGGCTTAATCCAGTGTCTGAACCCAGCACATATTTATATTTCTCATTGTCCTTTCAATTCAGCAGAGTAATTCCTGAATTGATGACCATCATTTTAAGGTTATACACTTAAGGAGAAGCCTATCAGAAGCACTTGTGACCATCTGAGCACGTCTGAGCTAAAAATGTGGGTCGGATTTCTCCAGTCTCAACAGATTCGAGCTATAGAAAAATGCAATATTCTTGATATGTGGCCTCAACTGAAATAATATATCCAAGTTGGTATTTCTTATCTAAAAAGCTAAATTGACAGCCTAAAATTCAATATAGGATTCATCAGGGCTGTCTGTGTTGGGAAAGGTAAGCATCAAAAAAGCCAAGATTTCAGTCCCATGGGTTCAACCACCACCTTAATGTAACTCCCCATGGATGATTCTGGAGGTAACCACCCTTTTCTGTAGAAGAAAGGAAATTATTTGTGCACACTAACCCTTTCAGCATTTGTTCCTGAATACTGTACTCACTGCAACCTACTCCAACGTGACTGTGGGTGGGATTACAAGTTTAATACTCAGTTTAAATACATGAGCACCAATCACAAAATTCAGTTCACAAAGTCTGATCTGGCCATTTGGAACAGTCACGTTACCTCAAACAGAGTTGGCACAGCCCCAACCTGCCCTCATTTGATTTAGGACGTTCAGACAAACTTAGGTGTAGAAATCTGAACCACCCATTAGCTGTCACTACAATCAACAAATAGCTATGTGTTTTTCTTTGTGATGACTGGATGAAACTTGCAAGAATGATAACAAGTTATAATATTAGACCTTTATCATTTCAAAAAATAAGTACAGGTTTCGGTGGTGCCCCCCCCCCTCGCCTTATAGTAGACCATTACATTTCTCTCTTTCTCTCTTTCTCTCTTTCTCTCTTTCTCCCTTCCTTCCTTCCTTCCTTCCTTCCTTCCTTCCTTCCTTCCTTCCTTC